AAATAAATAAATAAATAAAATTGAATTGAATTAAAAAAAGAAAACCCATCGCTAATGGTGGAAAGTACTTTTCAAAGATTTCCCCTTCAACTGCTTGAGAAAACAGTCTTTCCAATTTCAGTAATGCACAGCACTAGGACAGATCTCATGATTTGTGGTTAATAAAAGATGCTGAGTCAGCTAGAGTAAAGTTCAGGTGTAACGCTGATAAAAGGGCCTCACTGTTTTCTTGTGTCATAAGACACACAACATTATCTCTGTGAACTGAGAGAAAATTTCAGACAGTCAGTAATCTGCTCAAAGGGAGAAGCCAGTGGCAGTTAACTGCACTGTCCAAAGGTCCCTCACTACAAAGCAAAACTGTTGCCTCACTTCTAGTTGCTAGTCTAGTGGAGAGAACGACGTTAAGACTAACTATACGAACGGGTTCTAAATATCAGAGTGGCCAGTTGAGTGGAAAAAACACTATGGCTTTGATGTGAGCTCCATCATGATTTAACTGGATGACCTTGATATAGAATTTATTTGGTCGTAAGGGACTCATTGGTAAAATGGGAAAACTCATTACCTGCAATGGTTAACAGTTTTGAGAAGTGGAGAAAATAAAGGACTCAGCACAGGTGCTAACTGCTGAGTATTTGATAACGGTAGCTGTAACAGTAATTATTTTAATAGGATAAAAAGTCACCTCATAAATACCCTATAGTTATTTATCAAATATTTTATAAAATGACTACAGACAATCTAATTAGAAATTAGTTATTTTAAAATGTAGCTTACATTCAGTGATTTGGATTAGATTTTCTAAAAGTAGAAGTTGTATTTTTGTCACTCACCCAAAGGTAAAACATCTTCTGTGAATCATGTAACATACCTGCTTCTCTGCATGATCTGCAGGCCATCCTTGAACATGTTTTATGAGATTTTCATTGAAGTGTGCTGCTAGCGTAGGTGTTAATGAACATGTAGGTCGAGCAGATGAATTCTGTGGTACAACTGTTGCATTTGATGCATTACTACTAGAAGTATGATTTGGACCAGGTGATGGACTTCTCTGGCTACTGGAAGAGAAAACAAAGTTGAGTGTGTAGTATGTTTAAAAAAGTAGGTATCCTAGAAAGTGTCAATACCTTCTATTAATTTAAAGATATCCAAATTCCTAAGAAAAATTTGTTATTTGAACATCAAATAAATAGAATTTAAAATCCAAACTGTATTTATATCGTGTATTCCTCTCCACACTTTAGGGGGGAAAAAGAGCCCTTTTAACACTAATGTCAGTTAAATTTAAACTACCACTGCTCTCTAAATTTGACAACAGAAACTGTTGATTTCGTATACCAGAGACACTAATAAGAATGTTAGAAACGGTCCAGTTTTAACCGCTGTAGATACAAGGAACAACTGAGTATTCTATTTTACATACATGTAGATATGGAGGGGAAAAAATCTATTGCCTTTGCTTAACATCAGAACGAAATACTGAATCAGAGGGTAGATAACGTGAAGCAAAATACAGGCATTTTATTGGAGAGCAATGAAGGAGTTTAGTGGCAAAATAAGACCAAAAAAGTTAACACTCTGAGATTGGTTATCTTCTTTTAAAACTGTATGGTTTGGGCTAGGGTTTGGGGATATGGTGGTGAGAACCAAAAATTTAATCACCCAAGTTGATTTCCTACCTGCTTCACCAGACTTGGCTCTGAATGAATTTCAGTTATTTCCAAAAACTAAATCTCCCAAAGGATGAAGAGTTTTCATCACTGAGGATATTTAAAATAATACTGCCGCCTCTAAAGACAATTTAAAAGAAGAGTTTCCCAAAAATGTTCTGAGCAATGGCAACATTGCTGGAGTAAGAAGACAGCTTCCCAAGGTGATTATTTTGAAGGGAACAACTCTCATTTGGATGTATAAGTTCTGAAATGCTTGTTTAGAAAACAACAATAAAAACAACAGTTGAATTATTTTGCCACCTCATAGCAAGAAATAAAAATAGGAAAATCAATCAAATGAAAATCATTTAAAGTCGTATTTGTTAATTAACAAAGAAAGTGACAACACAACACAGCCCTATCTGACAAGCAATCCACATAGGGGTCAGAGTTAAAGCTATCAGGAAAACCTGACACAGACCAGTTGGGAAATAAATACTGGCCCAAGTCTTAGATGTAACATTTTTGGCTTCGTCAATACACTCAAAATCTAAAACTGCTATGAGGTTAAAAATGCTGTCATTTCCAACAAGTAAAGTATTATACACTCATGTGCCCTCTTTATACAAGTATCACATATTGTTAATCCCATCATATTCCACTAAGTAAAATTCTAAAGAAAGGAATCACTTTCTTCAAGAATAACCCAGCTTCACTACTAGAGATAAATCACCTAGTTGTAATAAGATTTCCCTTTATAAATCTTATAATGCACAAAACAAAGGCTATCCATGGATTCTTCCAAGATCAAGTTCTATTTACACATATATATTTATAATATTCAAACAATGCAGCATGCAATATTAAGGAAAAAATGTTTCAACACCTATCAACTTACTTTGAGCGCTGAAGACTTCGAGGAGAGACAGGTTCATGACCTTGCTGCTTGTCAGCAGTTACAGGCTGCTGTGTGGCCGATTGTGAAACCGGTCCTTGCTTAACTACTGGAGTACTAACCTGAAATGTCAAAATCTGGTGAGATATCCTTCTATCACATAAGACAAATACCATGGAAACTAAATAAAAGCAAAAGTACTATCAATGAAAAGTACCTATTATTTCTATTCTTTAGTAATTTAAGATAACACAAACTGTCCTAATTCTGTTTCATAATAAAATTAGTATTAGCGATACAGACATATTTAATAGTATAAATCATGGTAATTTAAGGCCCCCAAATCCACACACCCCTCCAAATCTGGCTGAAAAATCTTGAACTGTGAAAAATCTAGAGATTTAAAGAAGTGAAATCAAGTAAGTTCCCCAAGTTCATGTAGTTAGAAGACAGTCAAGTTTTGAGACTAGGATCTAATTTCTTCATAAAACGGCCCAAGGCCGTTAAGACTACTTTCTGGGTGCCTGGGGGTTCATTTGGTTTAGTGTCCAACTTCGGCTCAGGTCATGATCTTGTAGTTCGTCAGTTCGAGTCCCGCATCGGGCTCTGTGCTGACAGCTCGGAGCCTGGAGCCTCCTTTGGATTCTGTCTCCCCCGCTCTCTCTCTCTGCTCCTTCCCCCTCCTCTCTCTCAAAAATAAACAAACATTTAAAAAAATTATTTAAAAAAAGACTACTTTCTTAGCACAACAGTCTAAGAAAACTAGTTCTCCTAATGTTGTGCCTACTGTTGTGGAAAGTTTTCTTTCCAATATGCTAAAATAGCTTTTCTGATTTACTGTTACTTATAGATCAAGAAAAATTAATGTTAACACATCACATAAATACAGCTGGCTCAAATTTCAACGACATGTGCAGAGAATGTATAGATTGGCCTATATATTGGTATAGGTATGGCCCATGCAAAATTCAACTGGAGTGGTCTTCAAAGAGATGTTACCCTGTAGAGGCGGAACAAGAAGAGGTCCATCATTGTCAGTGGCGATACATATACTAGGCAGGTTCGGATGCCACTGAGAGGGAAAACAAGTAGTTTTAAACATGAGCCCCAAATTAAGGCGCAAAGGCAACAACAGCCATTTGTGATTAAGTCACATCCTCCGATAGCAGTTATTTTTTTCTTTTCTTTTTTTGATTAATTTTCTCCAAATCTGTGGATAGCCTGGTAAACTTCTGAATGTAAAAGAACATGTCCTTTTATAAAGACCATTTTTAGAAGATCTATAGAATACCAAATGTCCACTTAAAAAAAAAAAAAAAAACTTGAAAGTTTTTTTTTTTTTTTAATTTTGTTTTAATGTTTATTTTTGAGAGAGAGAGAGAGAGAGAGAGAGAGCGAGCGCGCGCGTGCACGCGGGAGGGTCAGAGAGAAAGGGACACACAGAATCTGAACTCACGAACCGGGAGATCATGACCCGAGCTGAAGTCGACCGCTTAACCAACTGAGCCACCCAGGCACCCCGAAAAAGTTTTTGAATGCAAAAAATTGATAGCCATATGCTTAAGGGATTTGAAATGCTAATTTTATAACTGACTATAAAACTAACACTACCACATACTTCCCTTTCAGTCATCATTTATTACACTCTTAAGACACCACCCTGAAGTTAAGTTTTAAGCTCTAAGGATAAGGCCTAAGAATAAGGTCTCTTTAGCTGAAACTCACAATTCTCCCATCAAAATACAGGCAAACAATAAGAAACTGCACAATAAACTAACAAGTTTAAGTCAGAATTTTAAAAACTCAATCCAGATTGACCTTAAAACATGCACAAAGGACTGAAAAAGGAAGGGATAAGCCAACAGGAAGACCTAAGCTGGCCTACCATCAATTTCAAGTTATGGATCAAGGCACTTTTATTTTTAGGCTTCTGCTTATGATTTTATTTCAGTAAAAAATTCCTTGGCATCAAGGACTGAAACAGCCCACTTTTTACAACAACTAAAAAGAATTTCCTAAATTTACCATTAAGAAAAAACAAATGCAATTTGTACATACCAACTTCCAAATCTCTTAATGTGTTGCTGGTAGTAGGACTACAGAGCCAAGAATGAGCATGGACTGGGATTTACTTATGATTCTGTAGGCAAGACTCAAATGATGTAGTACAAAATTGGGGTGCAGCACTGTTGTTGTTAAATATATTCCAAAAGGAACAGACCAGCAACTTTCTAACTGTGCCCTGAGGAGCCATCTAGAGAAGATTTCTCCTGGACAAACACAGGCAGTATAGCTTAGTAAAATGGGTTCTGTGTTCAGAAAGACCTAGGTCTCAAATTCTGAGTCCATCACAAAAAACTAGATTTAACTGAAGGCTTAGTTTTCTTATCTATTAAATGAAGCAAACAGTCGTTGATTCTCATGTGACGTTAAATATATACGTTAAAGGCATCAGCACAGAAACAGACTCATCTCTGAAATAAAAGTATGGGGTAGGAGGAGACACTGGAAAACATGTTCTCTCCTACCTTTTAGAGTTAAACAATTCTACAAACATTAAGACAATTAGCATATGCTTCTTTATCCCACTCTCCAGGTCAGAAATCCCAAAGCGAGTAAGAGAACAGAATCAGTGTGTAAAGAGGAAGCACATATGAAATTCCCTTATCTAGCCCTCAGTTTACCAAGTCTAACCTGCATCTATCCTCACCCCTCATTCATTCCACCACTGCCTACATTCTCAAAGAGAGCTTTTTCGGCCCTACAGATTCTAAGACATTAAGTTGGTTTTTCTCAAAGTGAGTGGTTTCTTTTCCAAGTTTCCCTCAAAAGCAACATACCTTTGGCTGTGATGAAACAGGAGGAGTACTAATCAAAGGTTTGATAGGGACTGTGTTAGTTTGAGGTGTGCTTATTCTTGGAGACACATACGATCTTGGGGATGATGCATCAGAAGTTAAAGACATTGGAGACTGATTAGATGGCTGGGCTGTAAAAAAGTGAAGCAATTAATTTCAAAGAAACCAAAACCTCTGTAATGTATGTGAAGAGGTCTTTCCATCTCTTCACAGGCCCTCTGCCCCCCAAAGAGAACACGTAACACTTATCCGAGAAAGTCAAGAACCTGAAGTACTCACAAGGGCCACATGGACTACATTAGCCGTGGATTAGACAGGCACACCTAATGTGTGCCTCCCCTAACCCCTTTCTTAAGCTGGAGCAAGAAGGTAAATCTGAACCTGTTCTTACATGGGAAGGCACCCTCACCATCCTTATTTCCCCTTTCTTATTCTACACGTAAGCCTGGTTATCCCCCTGTATCTCCTGCTTCATGAGGCTAACCAGAGGAATAGAAGTCTTTTCACTATTACATTTCAATTTCAGAACAAGTATTCCTGCTCAGTTTATCAATTTTTTGAACTGGGGCCGGGGGACAAGTCAAAGTGACCCTTTCACTTCTCTTTTTTCCTATGTATGTCCCTCTCCATTGAATACCTCCACAGAGAAGAGAAATGGCTGATTCAAGACAAGACTTGAGCATTTCTGTATCCTCTGGTCAAAAACCATCTACCATCAAAGCTGAAACCAAACGTCAACTCTTAAAATACATTCAATGTCTCACAAAGATTGAGGGCATCAGTTTACATTTAGCTTTGGAGTAAAATATTTCACTGGCAACTTAAATTCTGAATTAAATACATATTACAGGTTTAATGGCAATACTGCAAAACAAATGTCAAGGCTTGCCTCATCTCAAAAAGAATCAGTAAGTAAAAATACTGTATATACTGGTGTTAAAAAAAACCCAAATCATTATTATAGCTAACTTCTTCAAAGACTAAAGAAAAATTTGCTATGAAACCCTCCTCCAAGTTAATATGCAATTCTCGTGATACCTAAGAATATGAATACCTTGTGTAGAGAGCTGAGCAGCTTGAGAAATCAAAGAAGTTATGTTGAAAGCAGATGGTCCAGCAGTGAGAAACTTATGAATTATAGACTGCAATGAGGCTTGTGTCACAGCTGCTGTAAGAACTAAAAACATATTATACCTTAAATTAAAATAAAAACACAGAAGCATTTATGGCATTAGTAGTAACTTGAAAACTCAAAAGAACCCACAGAAAACTACAGTGTTTCAAACTTAGAACTCTAGAAGATAGGAGTAATAAAATGGATCTAGAAATTGGAAATGACAAGACAGAGGAAAAGAAACTTAATCAGTTTATAGCAAAGGAAAACAGTAGTTTCCTTCACACTAAAATTTAGGTGTTCAGTTAAAGAAACTCCTCCAAGACTTGATAAAAACAGTAAAGCATGTTCCCGGGAATTTGATTATATAACCAGAAACCTATTCATCCACTGCTAAAGTGCTCAGTATGTTACTTGGAATTAACTGGATAAATAAATGGTAGCTATTTCATGCAAATGCTTTATTAGACAAGCTGACCATTCAAATCCTGCACTGATACGCCCTCCAACAATCTTTTAAAGGCAGACATTAAAAAGCTAGGTAATTTAGGAATACCATGTATTTTCGACATACAAGATTTTTTATTGTTGGCATTTGTTTACGCTATCATTTCTTCAGACTGTTGAAAAGCCCCACAATCCCTAATAACACAGTTACCTATCACACAATAAAATCAAAATACAGAAAAGTACAATAAAGACAGAAGATTATTGACCAACTAGCCTGAAATAGCTACATGTTTAAGATAAAGGAAGAAAATAACCACTTAACACTACTATTAAATATATTCTGGGACCACAATGGACACAAGTCAAAACTGACTATTCTAAACAGAAAATTTTGCAATGCCTTTAGGACTGTTTGAATGGTTTGTGAATTAACACTACATCCATTTTTATTCAGACTTCTTTGAGGTGACTACCTAAATACTTTAAGTAGCATGCTGACAAGCAAAGTTGGAATACTGCAATTAACTAGAAAAACAAGAAAAATGTTATTTCTCACCTCAAATTTTTTTCAAGTATTATAAGGAACTACCTGAATTCCTACTTTTATTAATTAGCTTAATATCCCAAATAATGTACTCCTATACAAGAGGTTTTTTTGAAATTCTAGAATTCAAGTATTTTCATGTCAGCTTTTGGAAATGCTGTTTTTACTTAAAAAAAAAAAAAAAAAAAAAACCTCACCATACACATTACGCAAACACAGAACAGCTCATCTCCACCAACTACCAGCTACACAGCAAGTCTTAAATAATATACAGAAAAAATCCAAATATTGCTAATGCAATTACAATACCAAAGGTCTTGGATTATGGGGGGTATATAAATCCTAGCAAATGAAGTTCAAATGTGAATTTCAAAATGAAACAAAGACCAATGCAAATGAATTTTTAAAAAGTTTTGACAATGAAAATTTACCTTCATTTATTTTGGATATGTCCACATTAGAATTATTAAGTTGCAGTGTGGCTTGCAAAGCAGGAAGCAACTGTCTAAGAAGGTTTGGGTCCTGGAGTAATGGAGGTATTGGGGACTGTGGAACAGGAGAAACCGGGATTGCTGAAGCTGATGTTGGAGGTGCAGACGTGGGATTCAGTCCAGAGGCAGAAGATGTGGAAGGAGTTGTGCAAGAATGTGATACAGCTTTGTCTCCTGGCGTAGACTCTGGGTAAAAAGGAGATAACAAGGCTGAAAAAAGTTACTTGAATAGAGAAAACTGGAACCGACAGCAAAAAAACAACTTTCCTGCGTCAAACACCTAACTCAAGTAACCTCATTTAATCTTTCCAAGGTAGCACAGAGGGGGCTCAGTAAATATTTGACTGATTAGAATAATGAGGGAGGGCATTTTTATATCCCAACTTCATAGGTGAGAAAACTAAAAAAGAGAGATTATGGAACTTGCTTGAAATCACAACACCTGGTATAAAGCAGTGATTCAACCACATTCATGTCTGATTCTGAAAGTACCATGCTCTGTTTACTGGTAATGCTGTTTCAAAGAGTTATGAATTAACTACACCGTTAAATAAGCTTCCATTAGCATAAACGGACAATGTAATTCTCCTGAACTTAATTTAAGATGAAAATGTTTATGACCACAGTAACAACCCTCCTAATAAACACAATGGCCTGAATACAAATCAAGACTGGCACCATGATGAGCACCTCTAGAATAGGGGAAGGACAGATGAATGAGGAGACTCCCTACTTTGAACTTTTATACTTAACAATTGAGTTTTACGATTACATACTTTCATAATATATAAGGCAACTAGCTATTTCTATTTGTAGCATTTAAACTGTGGGCAATAAAAAGGATCCCAGTACACTATATTCAGTATTTAAAAATAAACACACACAAAAAATATAAAACATTCATGGAAAATTATCATTTGAAAGCAGTCCATGCAAATTATGTATATAGATTCAACGTAATTGTAGTCAAAACCCCAACAGCATTTTTAGCAGCATTTGACAAGCTGATTCTATTAACTTACTTAAAAAAGACAAGGGCTGGTACAGCCACAAAATTCGTGAAGAAAAAGAACACAGCTAGTGAGATGTGTCTTGCCAGTATAAAAACTTACATTTAAAACAAAACCAATTTAAGGAAGATCAAGCTTCTGTATACATATTTAAGTCTTTAGAACTAGTAAAGGAAAACAGGAAAGTATCTTTGAGATCTAGATACAGAAAATTACAAAAAACAAACCAATTACATTCAAAGTATTGATAACCGAAGTACTTTACCTAGAAATCAAGAAAGAAACCACATGATAGAAAAATGAACAGAAGACCTGAAATAAAAAGACATTTCACAGAAGGAACTTGAATGACTTTAGAAAACACGGGGTAATCAACTTCACTGATATTCAGGAAAATGCAAATCAACAGGATATCCTTTTATGCTTACCAGATTGACAAAAATTTGAAAATCTGACAATATCAAATGTTGAAAAGGAGTAACAGGAACATTTCTGATGGACACTAAATTGATGTACCCACACTGCAGAATAATTGGGAATTATCCAGGAAATGTGGAGATGCACACACTTGATGACTCAGTAATTCCCTTTAGGTAGAATACCCTTAAGAGAAACTGATGTATGTAAATTGGGAGAAATATTCAACAATATTTATAATAGTACTATGCTTGTTTTCATTTTAGCACAAAACTAGAAACAAACTAAATGTCTACCAACAGAAAGATGAACATAAACTATTTTCATATCATGGAATTTTACTAATACAGTAACTTTAATGGACGAAAAAATGAGTTAGAGGACATCTGGGTAAAAAACATTAAGACTCAACTATTCAAGATATTCATACACGCTCTTACAAAAAGACTAAATATGAAGATTTGCTTAAGTATCTTTAGTTTCCCATACACACCCATTTCTTGAAGATGATTTTCAAGCTCATATATACATTGTACAACCCAAATTAAGACTATTACGAGGCATAAAAGTTTCAGGAATATTACACTGCTACCTAGTAACTGTAAATCCTCATTTCCAATTCTTAGAACTAAACATTCTTTAATCTTCACGTCCCCAAAGAAGCTGGGAATTACTAGCAAACTTACTGAAAAGGGACTCCTCTATCAGCCTTTTTACACCACCACTGTAATAGTAAAACACAACCAGGGGCAATAGCGCTCTCAAGTATGGACCTCATAGCTGCTATAAATACATTTCAAGGCTATGCTGATCAACTACGACCAATTCATAAAGTATAAGACATCTTAATTTTTTTTTTTATTTTTTTTTTATTTTTTATTAAATTTTTTTTTTTTCCAACGTTTATTTATTTTTGGGACAGAGAGAGACAGAGCATGAACGGGGGAGGGGCAGAGAGAGAGGGAGACACAGAATCAGAAACAGGCTCCAGGCTCTGAGCTGTCAGCACAGAGCCCGATGCGGGGCTTGAACTCACGGACCGCGAGATCGTGACCTGGCTGAAGTCGGACGCTTAACCGACTGCGCCACCCAGGCGCCCCAAGACATCTTAATTTTTGTAAGGCACACATTCTAAAGGAGGGTTATTAAGCCTAGCAGACCGCTTATTATGTCTAACCCTGCTGTTCTGGATTCACAAATATACAGAAACTTGAATGAAGTAAGGTTTTCTCTGTGAAAACATGCTGTCAGTTATTACATTTTCTGGGGTAAAGACTATAGTAACAGTTTTCTCCAGATCATATTCCACAAGGGTCAGCTTAGTCAACATATTGCTGACATATTTTTTTTTTTTTTTAAGTTTGAGAGAGAGGGCCCATGAACAAGCACATGTGAGAGCGTGGGAGGCACAGAAAGGGGAGAGAGAATCCCAAGCAGACTCCAGGTCATTAGGGAGCCCAACAAGGGGCAGGATCTCACAACCCTGAGATCATGACCTGAGCTGAAATCTAGAGTAGGATCTTAAACCAACTAAGCCACCCAGGTACACCCCCCTTAGGGCCATTCCTGGTTAATGTTTAAAGAATGTTTTTAATGTTTATTTGTTTTTGAGAGAGAGAGAGAGACACAAGGAGAGGCAGACACAGAATCCGAAGCAGGCTCCAGGCTCTGAGCTGTCAGCACAGAGCCTAAGGTGGGGCTCGAACTCGTGAACACTGATATTATGACTAAAGAAGGTAAAAACGGTCTCCAACTGTATTTTGATGCTGTTAAATCTATCCAGACTTTAAAAAACCAACACAACTTAAAAACTTTTCAGTGTTACCCTTTAATCCAAGAAAAGGGAACACTCCCAAGATAGAAAACTAATACACATCACTATAAAGAAATAAAGTAACAAAACCTAAATATCCTTACCTCCTAGTTTTAATGTTTATTTACCAGAAGAATAAATTTCTTTTGAAGTTTTGTGGAAGATTACTGATGAGCAGTATAAAACTAGCTGGTACTACTAAATACCTATGAGACCCTTAAGTAACATCTCGATCGAAAAGGCCAGGATTTTTCTATTAAAAGGTTTGATTTTGAATATTAGTTTTCAACAAAATGCTGATCAGAATCATCTATAAAGCTGAAACAAAATTAAAACAAAACAAAAACCTAGATACTTGGACTCCACTCCTACTGAACCTGGGGAGGCCTGAGCATATGTTGAACTTGTGAGAATTCTATGGGTGATTCTGACATCCTTGCTGATTTTGAAAAAATAGAGAACTTCCGAGGTTCCTTTTAACTTTAAAAACCAAAGGAAACAAAAGCAAAACAAAATAAAAAAAGCATACCACAAACATATAGGAGTGAATAGAGTAAGGATAAGATGCAAGACAGGGAAACTAAATCTTTTTTTTCAAGGCAGGTCTTCAGTATACGATTGTTTTTTTTAATTGAAGTAAAATTGACATACAATACTGTATTAGTTTCAGGTGTTCAACAATCTTTATCCATATATATTGTGAAATGATCACCAATTACGAAATTATTTTTCTTGTGCTGACAACTTTCAAGATTGATTGTCTTGGCAACTTTCAAATATGCACAACTTTCAAATATTAACTGTATTAATAACTATAGTTGCCATGCTACACATTATTGTCCCCATGCTTCCATTTTATAACTGGAAGTTTATACCTTTTGACTTCCTTTACTCATTTCCCCCCTGGCAACCACCAATCTGGTCTCTGTATCTATAAGCTTGGTTTTATATTTTTAGATTCCTCATACAAATATTTCCATGCTATTTTAAATAATAGCTCCACCCTAAGACACATACCCATACAAACGCCCTTCCAAAGCATGTTACGTTATACATTTAAAATATTAGTTGCCTCAATCTACATGTATAACTGAAAATAATGGAGCTTATTAATATAAATATGCTACCCCAAAAGGCAGTCTTAGTTTTATCATTAAAATATCACAGGGGCGCCTGGGTGGCGCAGTCGGTTAAGCGTCCAACTTCAGCCAGGTCACGATCTCGCGGTCCGTGAGTTCGAGCCCCGCGTCAGGCTCTGGGCTGATGGCTCGGAGCCTGCAGCCTGCTTCCGATTCTGTGTCTCCCTCTCTCTCTGCCCCTCCCCCGTTCATGCTCTGTCTCTCTCTGTCCCAAAAATAAATAAACGTTGAAAAAAAAAA